CCACAATGGGTTCTTAAACTGGACCGGAGGGCCGGAACAAAAGCATGGATGGAGTGTTTGTGTGAACTAATACAAGTTAACACTGCTGCTGGTGAAGAAGCGGAGGGGAGAGCAAGAGAACCCTCCGCTCTTTAGGCTCCGCGGGCCGGATAGAGAACAGCCTAGTAGTTTGCCCACGGCTCCACTGAGCCAAACCGGTCAGGGCTCCAACGACCCTTTCACAGGGGTCGCCTAAGACCATCAGAAAACACATATATAATTACATATTGTTTTTGTGATGAATCACTATGCTTTAATTATGTTCAATTTGTAACAATGAAATTGGGGGTCACCACAACATGAGGAACTGTATTAAAGGGCCGCGGCATTAGGAAGGTTGAGAACCACTGCTCTCGAGTAAGGTCTTCCAGGAAGACCAGAACCTGGGAGAGGTAGGCTCTCCCCCACAGCGCTGGCAAGGACATCACCAGAGTAGAAGTGTTGGCATGCCAGAGCCGCTTGCCAAAATCAGTTCTCCCTCTGTCCCCGTAACAGACGTGTGGCTGGGCACAGGTGCCCAGCTAGCCTACATTTCCCAGCCTCCACTGGGTACAGGAAGTGGCCAGGTGACTAAGCACCCTCCAGCAGCAGGTGATAGAACGATGTGCCACTGTTGGTCTCCGTCGTAAGAATTAAGCACACTCCTTGGCAGTATGTTCCCATGTGGAATACAGAAGAGTCTATCACCAACTTCCACCACACACACGTGAGGGCCACCCCCCAAGGGATGGCAGAGCATGAAGATGCCAGGAGCTTGGGTCCCAGAACATGTGTGGATCGAGCTACCCAGCTGCCCACCTACCTCGGGACCACCCCGTGAAAGGGAAACAAATGTTTTTTAAACAACTTTATTGTTGGGGCTCTCTGCGACTGTGGCAAGCCTTTACCCAACGATGTTGGTAAGGAAGCCACACCACGCACTAGCCATCTCCTTCCACTTAAGTTCGACAACTCTATGTAAAAGGCAAAGCCCACCTTGGGGAAATCTAAACAAAATTGCCATTCTCGGCTGCATCTGCATTCTGTGACCATTGCCTCACAGAAATAGGCACTCAGTCATTCAGCAAACTTCTGAGCACCTAGAGGAAAGGTATCATGCTATACACTAGGGAGCTTAGAGCCAATGGAAAAAGAAAGCCAATAAAACCCTCCCTGGGTCAGGTCCTCTGAACTGCATGCTTTTCACCCAGAAGTTCAGCTCTCGGTCTTGTCTGCCCTGTCTCCAGCACTTTGTGGCGCCTTTTATATACAGGCACTCAATAAGTATTTTGTTTGATGAATCAATAAACTCAACTTGTTCTCAATGAACTCAGTCTAATGGGGAAATAGAGAAAACAATTATAAGATAGTACCTCTTACATCATAGGCATGCAATATGTTCGTTGTACTGATTTTTAGAAATGAATGAATACATGAATATCAAACAATGTAATGGCAAGCGCTATGGAGGTGGGAAGAAGGAACCAGAAATTAACAAAATCTTCCTGGAGTCCTGGCTGGTGCGGCTCAGTTGGCTGGGCGCCGTCCTGTGCACCAAATGGTAGCTGATTTGATTCCTGGTCAGAGTACATGCCTGGGTTGTGGCTCAAACCCTGGTAGGGGGTGTGTAAGAGGCAACCAACCCATCAATGTTTTGTTCTCACATCGATGTTTTTCTCACTCTCTCCCTTTCCCTTCTTCTATCTCTAAAATGTTAAAAAATAAAATCTTCACGGAGTCGCCTCGAGTTTGATATAACCAAATAAACAAGCAAAAGGGGGGGTGTAAAAAAGGAATCAAGAAAAGATGCAGCACCCATGCTGTGTAAACATGTTTACTATAACTGGAATTGGGGGCAGAGTTCAACTATACAATGAGCATAGCCAATACTCCTTTGATTGAATACTATTGCTCCCATTAATTAAGCCCAAAACTGAATTTTTTTTTCTTTAGCATTTGCATCACCCTACTTCAGCGATTTTCAACTAGTGAGCGCAAGGATTTTTAAAATACGCAATAAATACCTGACGATTTAGTCAGGGGGCACTGACCTCTTTTCTCTTAGGTTGTCAAATAAAAAATGACAACAGCCAACACAACAATAGCCATCTGGCATGAATGAATCAAAATTATACCTAGTTTTTTAGTCAGAATGGCAAAAAATATGTATTTTTTGGTGTGCTGCAGAATTTTAGTAATTAGTTTATATGTGCCATGAGATGAAAAAGGTTAAACATCGCTGCCCTACTTGCTTAATATAAATTGTTCACTCCCCCTTCTTTTAGAGATTTAATTTTCGTTTTAAAATCTAAAATCAGGATTTGACTCGTTCTAACAAGTCCTCTATCATACAATCAAAGAATCTCAAAGTTGGTAGGAATCTAAAACTTTTCAGTGAAGTCACTTATCTTGATCAGCTCTAATCAGATCTCCTTTGCAGCCCCACAGAGTTTTTATCCTTCTCTACAGCGCTTTATGTTTTGTCCTAGAGCAGCGGTTCTCAACCTGTGGGTCGTGACCCTTTGGGGGGTGGAACGACCCTTTCACAGGGGTTGCCTAAATACATCCTGCATATCAGATATTTACATTACGATTCATAACAGTAGCAGAATTACAGTTATGAAGTAGCAATGAAAATAATTTTATGGTTGGGGGTCACCACAACATGAGGAACTGTATTAAAGGGTCATGGCATTAGGAAGGTTGAGAACCACTATCCTAGAGTATATATGGTGGTAAACACATTTTTTATCTTTAGACTTTAATTTTATTTTTAAGAGATCATGTTCATTTTCTTCTATAATAAACTTAAAAGATATCCATCCACACATTTGGTCATATTTATTTATTCTTTAGCAATTGAAGCATGAAATGATGACTGTTTCTAGTCCCATCTTTAATAACATTATATTTATTATGCTTAAGGTTGTTCAGCTTTCTCATGGGGGAAAAAAACACACAAACGTAAACCTTTATACTATACACCTACCAGTTCTGCAGCACAATTTTAATAAAAGGGGTTTACTAATAATTGGACAATTTATATGATGTGGGCAGGGAAATACAAGAGTGATTATAAAGTGGCCAGTCTTATAAGTCAAGAGCTATGATCTTTGATCCATTCCTCAATCCACTTCAGTATCTGATCGATATTATCCTCTAAATCTCCTAGTTTATTGCTGGGCAGCTGTTGCACTATTTCTTCCTCGTAGGATGCTAATGCTTCTTCATAAAGAATTTGAAGCCGAAACCGGTTTGGCTCAGTGGATAGAGCATCGACCTGTGGACTAAAAGGTCCCGGGTTCGATTCCGGTTGAGGGCATGTACCTGGGTTGCGGGTACATCCCCAGGAGATGTGCAGGAGGCAGCTGATTGATGTTTCTCTCTCATCAATGTTTCTAACTCTCTATCTCTCTCCCTTCCTCTCTGTGAAAAATCAATAAAATATATTTTTAAAAAAAGAATTTGAAATATTTCACACTGGACATTATCTTTTAGTTTCTTCTCATTATAACCCCTTGTTTCAAGTCTTTGGTACAGTACACTATTACCGGTTTTCAGCACAAAAACTGTATGAAACAAGCGTTCAGAGAAGAAATCACAACTGTGGTCATCAACAAGAACTCCACCTTCACTCATTTGGTTTCCTAACTCATTAACTACTCTCAATTCATTTAAAATGGGACAATCATATTCTTCATCATAACCATCATATAACTGCTCTCCTCCAGCAGAATCACCCACATTAATGTGTTTCAGTCCCGATCTTGATGCACGTTCTCTGCCTTGTGTGGTTTTTCCAACCCCTGGTGCACCCGTGAGCAGGATGTTCAGAGGCAACACGGTCCTCACTGCCATGGCTCTGCTAGAATGCATGCTTCCTGTGTAGAACCCACTCTCTCCTTCATCTCACAGTCCTCCAGTGCTCAGTGACCAGAGGCTGTGCAGAATTTCATCTTTCCATCCACCCCGTCCGCTCTCCAAGTCCCTGTGAAGTCCCACCTCTTGGCTTGCACCTGGGGACAGCGTTTGTCGCCTTCCAGAAAGGCGAGTTGTTGCACCTTCTTTCCTAAGATCCACACGCTTCCCCATGGGTAAAGCGGCCACGTTACTTTGTTCATCTCCATTTCTGTCTGTTTTATGGATTAGGGTGGGAGGCGCCAAGCATTTTTTTAAAAAATGAATCAAGTTCCGAAGAAAGGATCCCACCTTGAAGCTGCCGAGTGCCTGTCTCTCAGGAACTGTCAGCTGTTTCCCTGCAGATGGTTTAGGCTTAGAACCATCCGTGGCCTTTCCCGTTCCACCTTTTGTTCCTCGGACGAGGATACTGAGCTTCCTTGAGACTTCCTGTTTGAATAACCACACACTTGGGTGTTCAAACTCCCATGTGTCCCATCATTCACCATAGGAAGTCACCGGGCAGCTGAACACAAAATGATGTATGAACAAAACAGCTGTGTGTTAGCAGGATGAACAAAAGACAGCAGGGAGCGAGGCACTGCTGTGAGTTTCAAAAACAAGGTCTATTTAGTCAGGCATGGTTAAAAGGCTGCTGAGTCAGGGCGCCAGGGGCGCGCTTCCTAATTGAAAATCGCTGGAGATGTGAACAAGTCTGCTTTCAGGTACTGCCTCGGAGTTTGACCCCAACACCAGCCTTCCCAACAGCTCCTTCCTCGGAACGAAGCTGCCTCTTCGATCTATCACAGAAATGGCAATACCAACTCAAAAGTTTTCACACAAAAATTTAACACCTATTTTATTTCCCAATCCGAAAAGCAGATCCGCCCTTCCCCAAGGGGCTTTCCTATGAAAACACAAGAGACATACACAAGAACACACAAAAAGCAGCACAGAAAACAAGCCTCCATTCTCCAAACATCTGGAAAATACGTTAATTTCAGAATCAGTCCATCTTTTGGTATCCTGGTTTCACCATCCATGCCCTGTGCCAGGACAGAAGAGCTTTCAAATGGACGTAAGTTTAAAACCAAAATCTTAGAATAGCCACAAAACTGAATGACCCCCTAATCCCACCAGGAGTTGGTGTTAATTTATTTCTTGGCATGCGGCAAAAAAATGCAGAAAATAGGGGTAAAGGAACCAGCGTGAGCCTCTAAAGCAATCCCAATCAAGTAAACAAATTTTATTACAGCTGCGTTACAGATGTTCCCACAAACTTTCATCATCTGTAGTAGAGCTCTAAAAATTTAGTCTTCAGTAGATTTTCTATTCCATGAACTTATCTAAAATACTCTAAATTTCAAAACTATATACAGGGCTTCTCTAAAAGTTATTCCTAGACACTCAACCCCACAGAACATGACCCTTTTCCCATGAAGAGGCGATCACATGGCCAAAGCCATTAGACAATTGCTCTCTTGGTCTCCAACTCCCTCCTCCCCCGATAATCTTTACCCTTAGCCCCTGTTTCTTCCAAGTTCCAAAAAGAACACACAATTTCAATGAAAATGCCAGGATGCTCATCTCTACCAGATCATGATCTGGTGTGAAAATAATAATAATTTAAAAACTTAGTGACACCAAAACAACAGGAGTCATTAGTCCTATAGGAATAGGGTCCATGACGAGCAGAAACCACTGTGGGAGGAACAGCGGCACCAGGCTCGGCCAAACAGAAAAGTATAAACCAAGGCAACTAGACCCTAGCCTCCCAGTCCCTGCCAGTGAACAGAAAGCTCAAGAAAAGCTGTTCAACTCGTTGTCATCAAGCTGTCACTACCCCCTTTTCAAAAACTTTTGACTCCCCCAAAACTTAACTACAGCCATCCCTCAGTACCTCGGGGGACTGGTTCCAGGATCCCCCCTGCAGATACCAAAATACTTGTGTGCTCAAGTCCCTTCTATAACATGGCCTAGAACAATGCACACAGTTGGCCCTCAGCATCTGGGGATTCCCATCCCTGGATTTGCAATCACAGATCAAAAATACTGTTTTAGATCCCAGGTTGGGTGAATCCAAGGGTGTAAAACTGCAGAAATAGAGGGCCAACCATATATTTATTGAAAAAAATCCACGTATAAGTGGACCCACGCAGTTCAAACCCATGTTGTTCAAGGGTCTATAGTTCAGATTTTAATATTCTCTTTGAACAGAGTTCATAGAAAAGCCCTGAGAAAATACTTATTCTTCCATATTTTACCAACTGGGGCAATTTTTAAAAATATGTATTTTATTGATTTTTTACAGAGAGGAAGGGAGAGGGTTAGAGAGTTAGAAACATCAATGAGAGAGAAACATCGATCAGCTGCCTCCTGCACACTCCCCACTGGGTATGTGCCAGCAACCAAGGTACATGCCCCTGACCGGAATCGAACCTGGAACCCCTGAGTCCACAGGCCAACAGTCTATCCACCGAGCCAAACTGGTCAGGGCCCAATTGGGGCAATTTTAAGCCCAACACTCATTCCTCAAATGTAACAGTGGGTGACATCCCACCTAACCTCCCCTTCAGAAAAGACATTGACCATGCACATTTAAAAATCATCAGCCACTAGGATGTGATGACATTACAGGAGTACCATGTGTACTAAGCAGGACTATGGAGAAAGCAGAGAAAGTAGGACTTAAAATTTAATCAGTCAACTGGTACTTGTAAAGAACAGCCCATCCTAAGAATCTTGAGTTCTAGAGGTGGAGATAGTCCGTAGTGGGGGAGCAGCCCAAAATACAAAATCTAAGTGGGAATTATGACCCTGTTCTTTAGAGATAAAGCAAATAAAACAAAGCAAAACAAAACACCTTTTTTTTAGGGTATCTAAGAGTCCCCTGATTGAACCTTCACTCAGTGATGCTCTGGGGAGACTAAGAAGGTACAGATTAAATAACAGATAGAAACAGAGATAAGGTAGATCAGACAGACAGAGATTTACAAAGTCACTTATACGGGAAAAGAAGGTGAAGGGAGTCACTGACGACAGTGACAAAGAAATCGAGGGCCACTGTAGTTACGGATCAATCAATCAATCAATAAAAGGTGGTTAGACCTATTCAGTTAGCAAACCTGAACAACAAAAAAGCAACCATGTACGAGTTAGAATTTACGTGGAGCAGAGGGGAAACGAAATAGAACCCGAAGAGGGCCTGGATGCTTTATCTTCAAGGATGTCAGATAACATAAGCAACCGGACTAAATTCAGCAATTCTCAACAACCAGAAAGGGTGTCGTGGATAAGGCAGAAAGGAGATAAGCTGGCATTCCCCCGACCACCCTTCAGGAAATGGGCAATGAGGTACACTTTCCCTGTCAGGAGATGCTGACAAAACCCAGGATCTCATTCTGAAATTCAATAAATTCCTTACAAAGTCCTAGAGGCATTAACGGTTACATATTTTAAAAGAGTGTAAGTGCCCCCAATTTAAAATTCTTCCATTGCAAGAAAAAAAGTGCAAAGCCCGTTTTGAAAGAAGCAACCCCAAACCAGAGCTCCTCAAGAAGAGATCTACAGAGACACCAGGTTCAGCTCCTAGATTTTAAGTCCAATTCACTCCCCAATTCAAGGTCTTCCTACAGTTCTCTCTCACTTACCAGGTCTGTTCTAACGTAGAATCCATCCACAACAGGCCTGGATTCCAACCTAAACTCAGCCTGTCCAACCTCAGAGAAGTCACAAGTTAGTTCATATTATTATTCCATAGTGGATATAGTAGGAGAGATGCTTAAGATCATTTTTTTAAAGGGTTCAAAGAGGTAACCAGGGGGCACTCAATGGGAGGTAATTTACTTTCTTTTGTCACCTAGTTTGCAAGATCCTCATTTCCCCAGAACCCATCCTACATGTCTCCTCTACTCTCTGGGAAGCAAACAATGCCTTCACCATTATCTGATTACTTTTAAACCGCCATGAAAGCACCTCACCCTTCCTGGAAAGTCCTCCATTCATGTCCCGCTTGGGTCTTTTCTTCAAGACCCAAGGAGCTTTTCCTCACTCTTCATTCAAAGGGCTCTGCAGGTCTTCCCTCTGCACTTCAAAAGGTTTCCACTGAATTATTTTTTGCTGTGCTTATGTTGTCCCATCGATTTCCTGCGCATGAATGTTTCTGTCTCATCTCCTCAGACATATTACAAATTACTTGAGGATATAACGTTTCAACATCTATTGTTACCCGCACAGCCCATATTACAATGGGCATAAATGAAGAATTCTCTCACCAGCTGCCTTATTTACATAAGGTCTTTGTCCACTAACTATTCAGAATCCCAGTCCATTAAGCTCATCTCATGTTGAGTGAGTGGGTCTTTTCACTTACTTGTAAATACTTCACAACATTTCATAAACTTCTCTAAGAAAGCCACACAACTCAAGCTGCAGACTTACTGGCTCAACGAGAAGAAGCCACTGGTAAAAAGGAAAGCAGACGGGGTCTTCACATTAGCTACGAGTCATTTGTGGAATAGTTCGTTTTCACCACAGAAATTAAACAACTTATATATAAAAACCAGACAATGGAACCAAGAACACACCTCCACCAGGCAGAGACATTCTTAGAGAATTATCTACCAGCAGCAAACCCCACAAACTTACCATCTTATCACTTCAAACCACAAAGCATCAACCAAAACCTGCTTCAAGGTGGGTGAGAAAAGAACTCCTGCGCCCTGACTCTGCCTGAAGCTCACCTGAACACCCTGCTGAAGGCACTCTCCATTAAAACCAGCTGATACCTCAACTAAAACAGCGGTTCACTTATTTGCCCTTTCACTCAATAATTATTAGTCAACACCTAATGAATGCCAGCCAGTAGAAAGGCAGTAAAAGAAATATATCTTAGATGATCAAGCCTCAGCTTCTGTGTTCTTCTATTTTAAGTCAAAACCATACCAAAACCAAATGAAATCACCAATATGTTATTTTGCGTTATGACTTTTTTGTGTTTTTTTGAGGAATAATTTGCATACAATGAAGTGCACACACATTAAATGTGCACTTCTGAATTTGCACATATGTATACACCTATGTAACCTCCATCCCAGTCAAGACATAAAACATAAAATTAGAACTGGGGGGGGAAAGGGGACTGGTCATCGTGGTATCTCTGGAAACACTGGCAGGTGCCTCTGTGGTGACTGCCCTGGGCAATCGTCCTGGTTAGCGGAGATCTTCACATCCATGGTGATTTATCATCAAACAAAATTCACTGAGTCCCAAACCCTATACAAGACCATTTGTATTTTTTATTTCAAGAAAATTTTTAAAATGTGAAGGAGGATGATACTGGTTTAATATTTCCAGAAACGTTCAAAACAGAAAGAAGATAAAATAACAAAGAATTTTTTAAAAATCCGAAGACGATTTCAGAAATCCAAGGAAGACGATATAACAAAAATCCGATGTCGCCCTCACCATGACAGGAAGCAGCCACACAGTTGGAAACAAAGAGTGAAAGAAGGAAGCCGAGGGAATATAACTCCTAAGGTTTGAAAAGAAATCTTGTAAATCCCCTAATTCATCCCCCAGCCTCGCCACAAGGTTCTCCTCCCACGAGAGATCTGAGAGCGCCATTGTCATAGGGGGAGATAAGCCTGCTTTATTTTATTTCATGAATATGGAGCTGCCCTGGGCACCAGCCTGACTGGGCCCAGTTATTTTAGGCTGGCCCCCGGGAAGAGACCGTGGAAAGAAAAGCAGACATACTTAATTAGTGTCACCACAGTCTGGCACAATGCTCTAAAACCTCAGGGACATTTCTATAAATGAGTTTTCTGGTAGGCCCCTTTTTTAGCAAGCTGTCAATTGAAGCCCACATGAGCAAACATCTAACTTTATCATTTCACAAGAACGAAGACGCTTGCAAATCCCAGGAGGTCCCTCTTACAAACCTTAGAGCAAGCCAGTCAGGCAAGGTAACAGAACCAGCACACAGGCACTTGAAACTTTACCCTTGGAAACCGATCATTTAGGATAAGGGGCAGATCAATCCCTCATTTTTTTTTAACAAGCAATTAATTAATGTTAGTTTGGTTGCACTGAACCGAGAAGATGACGAAGTCTTTGATGCTGCCTTCAAAGACCTCATGGTCTAGAAGTGGAAGCAGACAAAGAGGCACAGAGTGGAACCCCTAATCCGGGCCAGAGAGTGCGAATGGAAAGGGGAGAAACGGGGGAAGGATACCCGAGGTGGCGGCACCAGGAAGAAGTGCTCCAAAGCGAAAAGAACGAGCCCTCTGAGCATGAAAATGACAAAACTGAAGCCTAGGATGAAGAAGGTCTAGATTCTAGATTCTGAAGTATCTTGTACCCCACC